GAGAAGGAGACTTTTTAAAGATTTTTTCTATATATTCCTTTGTAAAACTTTTAACCGCCATTACAGCCCCACCCTAGCCCCAGGGGTCACAATATGAACAAACTTGAATCTACACTACCTGAGGATGATTCCACATGAGTTTCATCTCTCTTGGCCCAGTGGTTCTTGAGAAGAAGATTTTTAAAGATTTTTCCTATATAATATCCTATGTAAAACTTTGGTCGGCCATTTTGGCCCCACCCTAGCCCAGGGGGTCATGATTTGAATAAATTTGAATCTACACTACCTGAGGATGATTCCACATGAGTTTCATCTCTCTTGACCCAGTGGTTCTTGAAAAGAAGATTTTTTAAAAATGCCATTAATTTTTCACTAATTCATAATTATCTCCTATTGGAAGCGTGTGTAGCCCTTCATTTTAACAAACTTGAATCCCCTTCACCTAAGAATACTTTGTGACAAGTTTTTTTTGAAATTTGCCCAGTGGTTCTTGAGAAGAAGATGAAAATGTGAAAAGTTTACGCCGACGACAACGACGACAGACAACGGACAAATTTTGATCGGAAAAGCTCACTTGAGCCTTCCGCTCAGGTGAGCTAACAACGAAAGAAATCCTTTGATAATGCTTTAAAAGTACAAAAACTTTCTTCAAAATTATTGTATGATTTTTTTTGCCTGTTTAAATTTCAATACCATAATGTAAAATCAAGTTTCCCCAGTACAAGCTCAAAATAAAGATGACTAAGACTATCATTTCTTGTTTAAAAATGACTTCTTAAACAAAATGGAGAATATACTTTTATGATGACATCTGTGACAAAGAAGAGCAGACAGATGAGTTCTATCCCCTCAGTGACTCCACAGGGAACCTCCACTCTATCTCCACGGTTACGGATGTCTGACGTCCAGGTCAAAGAGGACGGGAACTCAAAGAATGCCAGGAAAAGGAGCACAAAAATAAAGGCATAGCGGCTCCTGAAATATTAATGTTTGGAACTTAAATGAAAAACAGACTTGCAGACTTTTTTTCCTTTCATTTGCATTCCTTTGGGGAAAAATAATTCTTTTGTTACTTTGACAAAGTTATTAAAGTTGAGTTTTTTGAGAGTAACATGAAAGATATAATCTCTTGGAATGACATGAACAAAAAAAGTCTACCTTTGTAGAAGGTTTGAATGGTAGAGTCTGTAGATCTGTAGAGCTCTCTTGTCCACACGATGACAAATCTCCCGATACTGAAATATCAACAGTCAAATTAGTGTTTGTTAACAAAGAAATGAACTAAATTAACACAGTATAATTAGTGTATTTTTTTAGTGAAGAAATGGAATTAATTATAATCTCTCCAATTTGGAGATACTTTTTACTCACCCTAGCCGCATCTTCTATAAACACTGTGGCTTGTAAGAGATGAGTCCTTTCTGCAATCAGAAATTTCAAGATTATAATTGTACTTATGCCTCCTTACATATTGATTAATCTAAATGAAACAGACCTTTGCACATATGAAATTTTTCCTGTTTTTTCTTTATTTCTTTTATAAATTTTCTTACAAATTCGTTTGAGATGAATACAATAATTTACATATAACCATATACATCTTTAATCAGAACTTGGTATATGCAATAAATATCCATCATGATTCATCGTATCTTAAAAATTTACGAACAAGAAGTACACCAGTAATTTGCCAATGTGTGTATATAAATGTAACAGTGTGCATAACATAATTATTGGATGATGTTTGTGATATATAGTGGTAATGTTAATTGAGGACAGATTTTAAGTGATGGGGAATTACATAATTAACTTTGAGAAGTGCATTTGCTTCATATTAATGAAACATTGTACCTAATAGTTCGGGAAAAGCGGGTGGGGGTAATACCGAGATCACGTCCCTGCTCAGGAATAATATTTATAGTAATTTGACAGTTTAAGTGAAGTCAATCAAAATAGAACAGGTGGATGAAGCATCCCACTATACCTGGGTGTGAGGGGTAAACTTCTAAAACTACATTACTGGGATTTACTGATATTCATTCTTTACCAGATATTTCTTTACAGAAAGACAGTTTCCTATCGTTGTTCACACATAGGTTAGTATGTGAGGAATTAATGGAATGAGCTATGTTTTTGCATTTTTCAGATGCATCCCGCACTAGAGACGTAGAGTATGAGAAATCAAACTGTCCCTCTACACCCTCTGTCTGTGTGTCACCTGGTGCCACAGGGGGGATATTCCCGTAAATATCGGGATCTCCATCCATGTCTTCCGGCGGGCTGATGATGTCTTTGTAACTCATGATCAGCTAAACTGAACTGTACATCGGAGACTCCCTAATCCTGATTTTTCAAGCATTGTTTTCATTATTTTATCAGCTGTTTACCATATTTCTTTCATGTGATCTACCGGAAGTGCAAGAAAAAAAAGAGTTATCTTTCTTTTATTTATTAGATGCGTTCGATTTCTTAGGTTAACAGCTGGTTAACGTCGCGTTCCTTACAGTAAAGTCAAACGCACGCTTAGTGTACGTTGTGTGGTTGTATTTTATTCCGTGATGTTGTCTTAAGTTTAAGCAGGGACCTATATACTAACTTAGTATATAGGTCCCTGATTTAAGAAATAGTTTGAATCTGAACAATTGTTAAAAACGCCATTTTGGTGATTAAACTTTGATTTATGTAAAACTGATTTTTTTAATCACGCTCTCTGTAATAGAACTAAAAGCCCCCACCCCCCCCACCCCGCCCCCTCCGGGGATTGCAAATAGTTCATGGCCATTTTATGGCGGTGAAGGTCAAATTATTTATTTCCTAGACGATGGAGGACAATTTACTTATATTCTTCTTCAATGAAAAAACTGACAAGAAAAAAAAGGAAAATGACCAATTTCTTAATTATTTTTCGTCCTTTGTTTGAATGTGTGTTTGTGTGTGTGTGTGTGTGGGGGGGGGGGGGGGCAAATAGTTCATATAATTTTTCATGTCGATGAAGGGCAATTTATTTATTTTCAAGATGATAGAGGACGACTATGACGGTATTTTCTTCAATGAAAAAATGACAAGAAAAAAAGATGAAGACAGTCAAATTATAAATTTCTTTTTCGTCCTGGGGCTGGGTGTGGGGATAGTAGAGCCAGCCAAGGACATTATTTATCGTCAGTTAAGGGCGAATTATTTATTTCATCAGTTTCGAGGACAGATTATGATTATCCCCCCCCCCGGCCAAACAAATGGTCGTCCCCTTATCAAGTCAATATATTTGTTTAAAAAAACCTTTAAGTAGAAAATAGTAAATACGATGCATGTATGGTTAAGGGGCCAACGTTAACCTTGAAAATTTTCAGAGATCGTCCACCTTGGCTGTACAACATATGACAATGCACGAATATGTCAATATATCAATGATGAAAATAAAAATTGGGTGGGGCGTTTAAAACCAACCAGGGTTCGAAATTCATTTCTACCCAAATTTTTCATATTCTGACGACCTCTTTTAATCACATTTATTTTAAACTGAAAGCTACAATTTAAAGTCACTAGTATATTTTTCACTTTTCATACACCCAGTACTCGTTACAATTCGTTCACCCTAATCGCCAATAGGATATAACATGGTCAATGTACAAGGAATACGTAGTACAATATTTACATCCACTGAATATTTTCTTTTTTATTTCTTAAGAAAACCCATTGCGTTCATCACTGCATGGACTACATTAGGCATATCACCTGTACAGATTTCTTGATCAGTGGCCATTCCATCAATGAAACGTACAAAGACGTTCGCATCATTAACACAATAATTAATATTTTTAATCCTACTTAAAATGATAATTTAAACAGATATAAATATAAACAATAAAATGTCTTTCTTTGTTTGTTATTACTGGAATGAACGGTCGCAGCTATTGCAGAAAAAATTTACATAACCCGCTTACGCGGGTTCTGTATTTTTTCTGCAACAGCTGCTTCCGTTCATTCCAGTAATAACAAACAAAGAAAGCATTTTATTGTTCAAATGAATACACATAAATTCGGTAGCGTATGCGGACATTGCATGAATGATACTTGCACTAAACATGGATACGTCAATCTGGTCAGGTCCTGAACTATGGCGGATGTCCGACATGTCAGTTTAGGAGGAAGGAGGCAGGGCTACCAGATTCATTGACAGAACAGCATCCCCTGGTGTCACGTTGGTTACGAACCCAAACTTCTCTGAATTCCGTCCCTGCTTTATAGGAAATTCAAGTAAGTGTGGATTTTTTTTTTGGGGGGGGGGTATTATTCAAATCAGCTCACAATTTCATCCCGAGGATTATTAATAAGTTTTTATATTGATATTTTATGTCTCAGGAATTTAAACTTCAAAATGGGTTGCAACCAATCTAAGAATCAGGAGCCGACCACAGGAGAACTCTCCCAGACAAATGTACCATGCGAGGAAATCAAAGCTCTGGCTGAAAAGGTGTTTTATTTTGTTTTTAAAAAATATATGCTATCTGTAGAAATAAACAATTTCTCTAGATACTATGTTAGCGGTGTTCGGAACTTAAATTAGACCAAACTTGCAATCACTCTCATGAGATTTCTCAATTGATATATTGTCGTTTAATGCGTGTATAATTTATTATGATTCGAGTGTAGATTTTATTCTTTTATTGTAGTTTAAAGCTAATGTGGAAAAAGAACTTGGAAGGGAACTAGATACCTTTGACGCCGTCTCTTTCAGAAAACAAGTCGTGGCAGCGAATGTATATTTCATTAAGGTATGTTTTAGGTCCACAGTCATGCATTACAGGGGTGGGGGGTAAGAAAAGATGAAGTCAGTTTATATGGATTAATTTTTAACATGTATACACTACCGGTAGTATTAATGATTGTTTTGGGGGTTGTATACCATGTATGATTTGAAAAGATTCTGTACCGTTTTACCAATGTTATATACATGTACCTTGATATTCTTACATGGAAAAGGGAACATAATTACCTTCAAAGATTAACCTGACACGGATCGAAGTGCTTCTTCGTATCGTCGGATTGACCATTCTGGCTGATTTTGGGTCATTGTTTAAAATTTTGTTAATACGAATCTTAAGAATGATATTTCCTAAACAGACTTCTTAATTCCTTCTTGTTTAGATAATTGGGTAGAAGTTCCGTCTGATAATACAAGCTTAGCATCCTTTACGACTTGAAGCTATAGGATGTCAACCTCCCCAAACTGTGTACATATCCTAGATCTAGAGGATGTAATTACAAAGTTGCAAGTTACTCTAACGTATAATACAAATGCACATAATTGCAGCATACCTTGCGGGGCAATTTTTTATATGAAAGGCTTGATAATTTTATAAAGATATTAAAGACCATTATTCCAGCAAGAGTTATCTCACTTGTCAGAGGGGCAATGGGCCTTTATTTAGTTTATCTCTAGAGGCACATCTGTATTGATGATAGTTTTATTTGCTAGCAGTAAAAGCAATGTATCAATAAATTGAAATTAAAAAGCGTTTACTACCAGGTCATCTAGTGAAAGAAAAAAACAGCGAAGATACGATAGAATATCTATCTCAAAAACTTACTAACAATGCAAATCTGTAAATAAGGAAAAACATTATGGACCTCCGGAAATTCCAGATTTAAGATCAGGCCTGGGGGCCATAAAACTTAGACGAGCTCACTTTTGATCTCAATCTCACTTTTCCAAAGGAATTAATGGAAAAAGTGAGACTGAGATCAAAAGTGAGCTCGTCTAAGTTTTATGGCCACCAGGCCTGGTGCCTAGGAGGGTTAAGTATCCCCTGTTGTCCAGTCACATTACAGCTTAGAAACGTAACTATAATGACAGAACTGTTACATTTTTTAGGTTAAAGTCGGAGATGAGTATGCACACATACGAATCTATGATCCTATTCCAAAAGCATCAGACAAAGCAGCTGCGACCTCAACAGAAGAGAAAACAGCACCAACAGACGAACAGACAGCGTCAGGGAAAGGAGAGGGTTCCGAAGAGGGCGAAGGAGAGGACTCGGAGGAAACGACAGAGGGTTCTACAGATGCAGGATCGTCAAAGGAAACAGCTGCAGAGGAGCAGAAACCGACAGCCAAGTTTGAGGGCGTGCAGAAAGGCAAGACACTGGAGGACGACATTGTTGAATTTCAAGAGCCTAGTCCTTGTGAAGAGGTCCAGGCAGCCGTAGAAGAAGCACCAGAACCACCCACAGAGGAGCCCGAAAAGGAAGAACCCAAACAGGAACCGAAGGAAGAGGAGCCCGAAAAGGAAGAACCCAAACAGGAACTGAAGGAAGAGGAGCCCAAAAAGGAAGAACCCGAGTCAAAGGAAGAAGGTGGCGGCCTCCTGGACACCGTGAAAGCAGGAGCTTCCAGCGTGGAAGTAAGTTTTTTGACGTATCTAACGTAACTTTGCCCTCTAGTGTAAAGTATGATCATATAATTTGTAAATTGGCATTCAATTTCACAAACGATTTTGAGCACAAAAAGATTGACTTTGTTTGTAGTTGAAACAAACAATTTACTGTAATAAATCTTGAACAATATTTGTCGATCGTCATTGCAAAAAAAAAAATAATTTAGATAATCTACATATTTAATTTTTTTTAGGACAAAGGTAGCAGTCTTCTAGATACGGCGAAGGCGGGGGCTGCGAGCGTAGGAGTGAGTTTTTGATGTGCGTCCTATGTTACCTTGCCCTCTAGTTCAAAGTGTGACTATATTTGTAAATTGACATTTATACCGGTATTTTCATTCATGTCACAAAAACTTACAGAAACACCTTGTTAATGTTGCAGAACAAAAATACTGTATTAAAGCTGAAACAATATATTGTTGTCATTATACAAAAAACAAACAAACAAACAACAACAACAAAAACAACAACAACAACAACAACAAAGTTAGAGAATCTGCAATTACTATAGTTTACATTTGTTATATTAGAAACATTGTATATTTACACGTGCGTAGTTTGTGAATTTCACATTATTTTTTATGCATATACATGTTCTTCCCTAAAAAAAAAAAAAAAAAAAAAAACTATTGTTAACTACAGTTTACTATAGTATACTATAGTAAATCAAAGTGTCAAAGTTTTCGCCAAAGTTTTCAAAGTATCAAAGTTTTCGCCAAAGTTTTTCAAAGTGTCAAAATTTTCACTAAAGTGTTTCAAAGTGTCAGAGTTTTCACGAAAGTTTTTCAAAGTGTCAAAGTTTTCGCCAAAGTTTTTCAAAGTGTTACAGTTTTCAATAAAGTTTTCAAAGTGTCAAAGTTTTCACCAAATTATATCAAAGTTTTCGATTAAATTTTGAAAGTGTCAAAGTTTTCGATAAAGTTTTTGAAAGTGTCAAAGTTTTCAATAAACTTTTTCAAAGTGTCAAAGTTTTTGAGAATTTTTTTCCAAAGAGTCAAAAATTTCTCAAAGTATCAAAGTTTACGATAAAAATTTTCAAAGTGTCAAAGTTTTCGCCAAAGTTTTTCAAAGTGTCAAAGTTTTTGCCAAAGTTTTTCAAAGTGTCAAAGTTTTCGCCAAAGTTTTTCAAAGTGTCAAAGTTTTTGCCAAAGTTTTTCAAAGTGTCAAAGTTTTCGCCAAAGTTTTTCAAAGTGTCAAACTTTTCAATAAAGTTTTTCAAAGTGTCAAAGTTTTCGATAATTTTTGTTTAAGTGGCAAAGTTTTCACCAAATTATAACAAAGTGTTTGATTACATTTTGAAAGTGTTAAAGTTTCAATAAAGTTTTTGAAAATGTCAAAGTTTTCGATAAACTTTTTCAAAATGTCAAAGTTTTTGAGAATTTTTTTTCCAAAGAGTCAAAAACTTGTCAAAGTATCAAAGTTTACGATAAAAATTTTCAAAGTGTCAAAGTTTTCGATAAAGATTTTTAAAGTGACAAAGTTTTGGATAAACATTTTCAAAGTATCAAATTTTTCGATAAAGTTTTTCAAAGTGTGAAAGTTTTCGCCAAAGTTTTTCAAAGTGTCAAAGTTTTCGCCAAAGTATTTCAAAGTGTCAAAGTTTTCGATAAAGTTTTTCAAAATTTTTGTAAAATGTATATCAAACATCATTATATTATTATAAACTTTATTCACACAGTATAGTCCGATTCCGCAATGGTTATTTTGCCTAAAAAACCGTTTTCGAGTTTGTTATTTATAATGCGCATTACTTTTCCACTATATATTCTTTTGAGGAAAGTGAGACTGAGATCAAAAGTTTTATGGTCCCCAGGCCAGAACCCCTAAACCAGGGGCCATAAAATTTACAATTTTTGTTGAGGCATTCTCGCTCATTATAACTATGTACTTTGTTTGTTTAATCCCCAGGAGCAGAGAAGATAATGAAAGAATTAATGCATTTTCACAATATAATCAATAGAGCCCCGCCCTAACACCAGAACCCCTGCCCCAGGGGCCATGAAATTCACAATTTTGGAAGAGACAGTCTTATCCAACATAACTATGTACTTGGTTAGTTTAATTAATGCCAAGGAGCAGAGAAAAAGATTTTCAAATAACTAATGAATTTTTACTATATACTCTATTTAGCCCCGCCCTAGCACTAGAACCCCTGACCCTGGGGCCATGAATTTCACGATTTTGGTAGAGGACTCAATGCTGATTACAATCATGCCAACAGTTTGACTGCTTGATGTCCAGAAGAATGGAAGATTTTTAAAGATTGCACGATTTTTTGTGGTTTTGGCCATACCCCTCAGGCCCCTGGGGCACAGGGACCATGCAATTAATAATTTTTGCTCCGCTTTACCCACAAATGCTTTGTTTTAAATTTGGTTGAAATTGGTTGAGCAGTTGCAGAGAAGAAGCTAAAATGTTCAAATGTTAACGCATGAAAGACGACGGCGGACAAAAACGGATAGCAATAGTTTACTCAAACAAACCAAGGTTCGAAATTCATTTCTTCCCAAATTATTCATGTTCATATCCCTTTGTAATCAGATTTATTTCAAAATTAAAGCTATCATTTTAAGCTATGTTTTTACGTTCTACACATCCAGTGTTTGCTAAAATTAGTTCACCCTAATCGCCAAATAGGATGTACAACATGGTCAATGTTCAAGGTATACATACTACAATGAATACATGTATGCGGACATTGAATGATCCTTGCACTGTTATACGTCAAACTGGTCAGGTCCTGAACTATGGGCATGGCGGATGTCCGACTTGTCACTACAGGAGTGAGGAGGCAGGGCTACCAGAGTCATTAACAGCAAAGCTTCCCCAGGTGCCACGTTGGTTACGAACCCAAACTTCTCTGAATTTCGTCCCTGTATTATAGGAAATTTAAGTAAGTGTGGAATTTTTAGGGGGGTATTATTCAAATCAGCTCACAATTTGATGCCAAGGATTGTTAATATGTTTTATATTGATATTTTATGTTTCAGGAATTGAAACTTCAAAATGGGTAAACACCATTCTAAGAATACTAAGCCCGGGGAACTCTCCCCGACAACTGTTCCAGGCGAGGAAATCAAAGCTCTAGCCGAAAGGGTGTCGTATTTTTTAAAAAAATTTTTCTATATAAATTTTCTTTAGATACTCAGTTAGCGGTGCTCGGAACTAAATTATAACAAACTTTTCAATCATTATCATTTTGATTTTTTTATTTAATATATTGTCGTCGTTTAAGGCGTTTACTTTATTATGATTCGAGTGTAGATTTTTATCTTTTATTGTAGTTTAAAGCTAATGTGGAAAAAGAACTTGGAAGGGAACTAGATACTTTTGACGCCGTCTCTTTCAGAGAACAAATCGTAGCAGCGAATGTATATTTCATTAAGGTATGTTTAAGTCTACAATCATTCGTTACAGAGGGGGGGGGTGAAAAAGATGAAGTCAGCCTATCCAGATTTATCTTTAACTAGCTGCAATAATGTAGCCCTCTCCCTTTTTTTTTGGGGGGGGGGGGGGCTACAACTCCTTAAGATCTCCGTAATAGTGCAGAGCGGGAGCGATTCGCTCCCGCACGGATTTCGGCTCAAATTGTCAGTAAATGGCTATTTTATTAACATTTCTAACCTTGACTCCTAATAAGTAGTCATCCAAGACGTAAATCAATGCAAAAATATACAGAAGGATCAATATATCGCTTATTTTTCGTGTATGTCAACATCACAACTCGAATTTATCCGCCATGTTTACTGACCTTGATAGATTGTTTTTTGGGACAGCCAATGAAAATTTAGGTTCTATAGGAGCGGATCTTTTTGGAATTCCCTTATTTTAAGCATAAATATCACTGCTTGCATAGAAATAACACTTAAAATGGTTTTATATACCTATGTTTTTGTGATAAATACCAGCACAATCATTTATAAACACCGATATTTGCTTTATTCAGTCGTTCTAAATTTCAAGCGAAAGTCTCATTACGTCACGCGTGAACTGTCATGGCTGCTGAAGTAAACTACCAGGAAACACGCAGAGTTATTTTACAAGTTTTTCGCATTTAACGGGGTCTGTTGTTGACAGTGAATTAAAATTTCGTCTTATTAGAAGTAAGTTGAATGTAAAAATAATTTATTTTGCCTGCAGTCGCTCCTACTTAAAAAAATATTTGCACCATTACGGAGATGCTATGGAATTGTAGCCCTCTCCAGAAAACACCAGATTAAAAAAATCGGAGAGGGCTACATTATTGCAGCTATGTTTCCTCGAAATGACCATTCTGGCTGATTTTGGGTCATTGCTTAAAATTTTGTTCATACGGAACTTAAGAAGGATATTTCCAAAACAGACTTCTTAATTCCTTCTTGTTTAGATAATTGGGTAGAAGTTCCGTATGTCAATACAAGCTTAGCTTCCTTTACGAGTTGTAGCTAAGGATGTCAACCTCCACTAAACCATCCTAGATTGAGAGGATGCAATTACGACGTTGCAAGTCAAATGCACATTTCAGCACACCTTGCGACCGAGACAGATTTTTACTAGCTGCAATAATGTAGCCCTCTCCGATTTTTTTAATCTGATGTTTTCTGGAGAGGGCTACAATTCCATAGCATCTCCGTAATGGTGCAAATATTTTTTTTAATAGGAGCGACTGCAGGCAAAATAAATTATTTTTACATTCAACTTACTTCTAATAAGACGAAATTTTAATTCACTGTCAACAACAGACCCCGTTAAATGCGAAAAACTTGTAAAATAACTCTGCGTGTTTCCTGGTAGTTTACTTCAGCAGCCATGACAGTTCACGCGTGACGTAATGAGACTTTCGCTTGAAATTTAGAACGACTGAATAAAGCAAATATCAGTGTTCCAAAAAGATCCGCTCCTATAGAACCTAAATTCTCATTGGCTGTCCCAAAATACGATCTATCAAGGCCAGTAAACATGGCGGATAAATTCGAGTTGTGATGTTGACATACACAAAAAATAAGCGATATATATTGATCGTTCTGTATATTTTTGCATTGATTTACGTCTTGGATGACTACTTATTAGGATTCAAGGTTAGAAATGTTAATAAAATAGCCATTTACTGACAATTTGAGCCAAAATCCGTGCGGGAGCGAATCGTTCCCGCTCTGCACCATTACAGAGATCCTAAGAAGTTGTAGCCCTCCCCCCCCCCCCCCCCCCAAAATAAAAAGGGAGAGGGCTACATTATTGCAGCTAGATTTTTACGTGAAAGGCCTGGTAACTTGATGATTCTATAAAGAGTAAAGGAAAATTATTATTCCAGCAAGAGTTATCTCACTTATCAGAGGGGCAATGGGCCTTAAGTTAGTTAACTTTATCTCTGAGGCACATCTGTATTGATTATAGTTTTATTTGCTAGCAGTAAAAGCAATGTATCAATAAATTAAAATATTTTTAAAAATAGGGTTTAC